GGGGAAGGTTTGGGGTGCAAGGAAAGGTTTTGGGGACCCCGAGGACGACCCGGGGGAGGTTTGGGGACCCCAAGGGAGGTTTCTGGACCCCGAGGGTGACTCAGGGAAGGTTTGGGGATTTGGGGAAGGTTTGGTGACCCCAAGAGTGACCCGGGGATGGTTTGGGGACCTCAAAGGTGATTTGGGGAAGGTTTGGTGACCCCGAAGGTGACCCAGGGAAGGTTTGGGGACCCCAAGGGCGACCCAAGGAAGCTCTGGGGACCCCAAAGGTGACCCAGGGAACGCTTGGTGACCCCAAGGATGACCCAAGGAAAGTTTGGTGACCCCGAGGATGACCCAAGGAAAGTTTGGTGACCCCGAGGATGACCCAGGGAAGGTTTGGTGACCCCGAGGATGACCCAAGGAAAGTTTGGTGACCCCGAGGATGACCCAGGGAAGGTTTGGTGACCCCGAGGGTGACCCAGGGACGGCAGGGCAGGGATTTGGGGGTCCCCCACCTGTGCGAAGGTGGCGGCCATCTCCCGGGAGTGCCCGAAGGGGTCGATCTGCCAGGCCACGCGGGGAGTGCCGCAGCGGCCGAAGAGGCGGCGCAGGAAGCGCCGGCCCAGGCCCAGCTGCTCCAGGACCCCCCCGTAATGCGCCGCGGCCTCGTCGTTCATGCACCAGCCCCCCCCGACCAGCTCCAGCCGTCCTGGGGGGCACAGCACCCCAAAATCCCTCAGGGGACACCCCAGGGTCACCCCCACACCAGGCCTGTGGCGCTGGGTGAGGCTGTCGTGCTCACAGAGACCACAGAGCCCCATCCCAGTGTCTCCCAGTAACTCCCAGTGTCCCTTTATGGTGTCCCCAGTAACTCCCAGTGCCCCTTTATGGTGTCCCCAGTAACTCCCAGTATGCATTTTACAGTGTCCCCAGTAACTCCCGGTGTCCCCCAGATCCTCCCCCTTTATGGTGTTCCCAGTAACTCCCAGTGCCCCCAGTAACTCCCAGTGTCCCCTTATGGTGTGCCCAGTAACTCCCAGTGTCCCCTTATGGTGTCCCCAGTAACTCCCCCTGCTCCCAGTATCCTTTTACAGTGTCCCCAGTAACTCCCAGTAACTCCCAGTGTCCCCTTATGGTGTGCCCAGTAACTCCCAGGGCCCCTTTATGGTGTTCCCAGTAACTCCCAGTATGCCTTTTACAGTGTCTCCAGTAACTCCCAGTGTCCCCTTATGATGTCCCCAGTGCTCCCAGTATCCTTTTACAGTGTCCCCAGTAACTCCCAGTGCCCCCAGTAACTCCCAGTG